ATTAAAACTAGCCTCATTTCGATTTTTGAAATGTGTTCTGATCCTCTTTGACGCACTTGTCTACAGCATGCGTATAACCCAAGATGTTCTGCCATTATGAAGAGGGGATGACTCTTTCAATTTATAGTGCTGTCGTAACTTTTTGACGCCCTTACTACCGATTGAAGTAAAGTAAAGTACTTTTATTCCTGCGTTGAAATCGGTTTACCATCACTCGAATGAGCATTATAACCTTGGCGCATAAACCGGAACGGTTTTATTTTTCTAATTCTCAGCAGGCCTCGCAAGCTGTCGTGTTGTCGCAGCAGTCACTGCTTGTCTGACCGCAGCCGCGGCTGCGCCAGCAGGGACCGAGCTGTTTGCAGTCACCGCCGATTACGCGGTAGATGTTGGCGGCGGCGGTGATGATCTCTTTGGCGTCTGACCCCGGCACCGCCGCCACCGGTGCGCAAATCCGCCGGCGCCTCACTGAGCTTCATGCGTCCCACGGCGGCCAGCAAAAGCAAGGAGCACGCTGATGAGGTCGCCAGAGTGGCGGCTGCCAAGGCCGCCGCCGGCGCCGCCGCCAACAAGCGCAACTTGTCGTCATTGCATGCTCCTCGTCCGCGACTCACGATCGCCACTAGGAATTGATTCCACGTGTATAGAGAATCGATTCCTTCGGTTTTCTTCAAGACGCGCTGTGCCATTTGTAAGACTCGATTCGACGAAGACGACTTGTTCAAAAGTATGTATCAAGTTTCTGCGGAATCATTCCATCGTCATTACTTTCGATTTTTACGGAAGAAATACCATGGTTGACTCTCTCTCTCGTCAAGGATAACGTGCTTCATCAATCATTCAACCATTCTTCACCCCTCAATCTATTCGTAATAACCCGACGCGAGGAAAAAAAAGGCTATTGCCTCAGGCAAAGGTTCTCTTTCAGTGTTTTAAATAAAATTACTTGTGAAGATATGCATTCACGCTACAGTTTTTCTTACTTGAAGAAAATAAGGTAACTTTTTAATGTACTGATTAGGAATCAGCGCCCATCTCGAAATGTTATCAACTTGCATAAATCGGCTGATAAAATTTGGAAAATTCCAAGTTTCCGGTATTCTTCGAGTAAACGTGACTCCCTCGGCTTTTGAGGAATTTATGGTCTGATTTACATACTTATCTTGAAGCAAAATCATGCAAAGAGTTTTTTTTAATGGCCAAATGCTTTGTGAAGGCATGCTTGCGATTTATTTGATCAGCACCGAAGAAATCGACTTGAAAATCATAATTATTTTAGCGATAAGAATTCGAGTCAACATTCAATATTAGAAAAGTTTCGTAAACGGGCTGATGGTTTAGTTCGAAATTTTTAGCGCTGTTTTAATTATAGAGTCCATGACACAATTTTCTAGGGGAATAATTGCCTGTAGTAATTGCTTATTTTAACAGCTCATGATTTAAAAACATCTCCACGCTTTTTGGGCTATCTTTGACCAGAATCTTATAGTATAGAGTGTCACGGATGTAAAAACTCTCACGCTTATTCCTCGCTTAAATGCATCGTCAACCGTAAATTTTTGCGATTGTAAGTTTAGTTAAAAAAATTAAATGCTTGAGCGGAAGCAATTAGCGTAAATGCTGCTCGCAGCGAGAAAGACGGGAATCAATTCCACGGCATTGAGCATCTGAAAAAATCGAACAAGTTGTCGAAAAAAAAAACAATTTGAAGAAAACGTTACTTGCCCGTAAAAAAAAATTAGGCATTTCTTCCCCCATTCCTGAGTGTATGGAGAAGTCAGGATCCAGACCATCAAGGAACGTTTTTTTTGTTTGAAAAATTGTAATTGCATGACTGGCGATGTAGTTTTTGATTGATTCGGAATTGTGTGTGGATTTGTCTCGAGACTAATCCAATTGCGAACTGGCGCTTTTCAGTTTTCGCGACTTGACTTTTTTTTTGCCTTTTCTTTCTTAAATTGAGCAATTTTTTGTGCATTTGGCATTGCGTTGATGCAGATATTCATCGTTGATCAAATTACTGCGTGCTTGTTCGTGGCTGAGAGAGCATTTCGAATTCTTCTCGACTTTTTTTTTTTTGGATGGCACTTTGATTTACGAAGATCCGGAATCAAAGCGTAAACCCGTGCAAAGTTCGGCTGAGCACGTGGAAGTTGTAAATTTTCTGAATGTTTTTTGCCTTGTTTCAAGGCTTTTTGCATAACTTTCTACCTGCGTAGTGGTGCTACCGTCATGCTTGAATCGGCTGATCTATTTCGTTTTCTTTCCTGAATATTCTCCCGTGAGAAAATCCCGCCAGTACAAAACGCGAGAATAAAGATTTAAAAAGAGGAATGAGCCATAAAAAAATACAATTATATACAGTATTTATAAATTATTCTTCTCCTATCTCAGAATGAAGAACACTATGTGCCTGGTTATGTCAAGTCTTGAAACTTTTTCTGTTGATTTTTTTATCGATCTTTTGGTCCCCCACAAATTTTTGCAGATTCAGCGATGTGCAGGATTTTATTTTCGAAGTCTGCTATAATAGTCGGATAGATTTTTAAATATTGGGCTGTTTCAAAAAACAGCACTTGCCACATTTCTGCAGCTAGGAAACTTTTGTACCGACGGGATTCTCTCCCGGGAGAATTTGTGCGAATATTCTGCATTCACAAACATCCGCAGCAAATATTGCGCAAGGGGGTTTCTCATGGAAGCTAATTTTCTGTGAACAAACTTGCGTACTATTTCCTTCTTGTTGTTGGTTGAAATGCATCTCACATTCGGTGACTTTTTCTTTGGCCTATTTGTAACAGTTACACAGGGATTTTGCTGCTCTATTTAATTTTAAAGCAAGTACAGCAGTGCTCTTTTAACAAATCTGGAACAGCCATGATGATTGCCATTAATTTTGCGCAATGCGATAATTTGTTTTGATGCGTTTACTCGGCTTTGCTACGTGCGTGAGGAATTCCGTCTCCACGAATATGTTCGTGATCAGCGATTTATTTCAAAAGTTTTGTTTTTCAATCAATGCCCGTATTTATGATTCAGCTTGATGATCGATGCTAGTCGGAGGATGATGGAGGTTTTTTTGCAGAGGTTTTGCACGAGTGAGAAAGAAGGGACCCTTTTTTTGCGTCAAAAATGAAGTATTTAACGTCTGGGTTTCGGCATTTGGGTAATTATTCTAATCCACGTTTCTCAGCTGATTGTTGGCTTTCATTTCCCGATATGAAGGTTCAAGGTACATTTCGTCGTTGCGTATTCTAAAGCTTCGCAGATTTTATTTTAAGCGTAGTTTTCTGCCTGGAAATGCTGCTCTTTTATCTTGCTTGACGCAAAACCGCTCAAAAAGACGGCATCATCCACGATCATCGATATGTTGCGGTTGTCAGCTTTTTTTTGTTTCCTTGTCGACCCCAAAAAACGTCGGTGTTTTCTCCTGTTTGGCGTGCAAAACCCCTGTCAGGAGAAAATGTTGCTGAATGGTCTCGTTCCGGCGTGGAAACCGCGAGTTTCCACGGCTTGCGAGGGAGCGAACAAAAGCTTATCAGAGATACTGTATTCCATTATTCTGTGCCTCGAATGCGCCGTTTTCCAAGGTCTGTGATGCTTCAGATCGCGATGAGAACATTTTCCTGTCCGTTTTCATGCCTCTGTGCCTCGAGGAACGTGTTGGAATTAAAATTGTGACTCACAAGGACGAACAAGTTCTTTTCATCTTTTTTTTATTTTTACATTTATATGGCGACAGGAATAACTTGGTAATGAACGGACTGCGACCAGTGCAACGTACTCTGAAACGCATTCTTAAGAGGAATTTCACCGGCTTCTCATCCACATTTTTGGCCATCAATAACCAGACGCAGCAGAATGAGAACCGGCATTCCTGAAGGAAAAATCTTATTTCCAACTTGATCTAATCTCTTTCAAAAATGTGTGTGAAGGTCAATAAAAAATCTGTGCCCTGACAGCAACTGCACAATCCTCTGGAAGATGTGGGCTGTTTTCCCTCCCATTTCAAGATTTAATTCCGATGAACCTCATTTTAACAAAATTCCAACAATATACAGTACAATTCAACCTCAAGTAAATACCTTCCTAGGTCAAATAATTTGCAAGTCCCTGGCAGAATTCTCTCATAAGCAAGGCAGTAAAGTCTTCAACTCCCAAGACTTTTCCTCTAAAACCTCCATAACTCCCATTTTCCGGGGGCCTTTTGGCTATCATTTCCTGGAAACAGCGGATAAAAAAGCAATTAAACTTTTGTGTTCTAAAAGGAAGTGGAAAACTTAATTGGGCAAAGGAACCCCTGCTCCCAAGTTCAGCATCCTGCCAACTCATTTAACCAGCAATGTAAGGGCCAGAATATCACCATCAACGATTTCCTGCGCTTCTTCCGTTTCCCTCGACAGAAGTGCTTGTTTACACAACTTGAAACCTCTCGAATTTTTCTTGCGGTCTCTCGAAATTCGACTGTAGTGAAATAATTGGAGAAACCATGAAACGTAAGGCTTCACTACCATTTCTGAATACAGACATTCGTCACCTTCCACATCCACTGTATTTTAATCTCTATAGATTCGCAGGTGAGAAGCTTCGAAAAAAAAATGTAGATCCATTTTAACCCAGAGCCAAATTAATTCAGGAATACTCAAGACACGACAAGGAAAGAATTAAATGCTTTGCTTTATGCTAGAGAATTTTTCCACTCCACGAATCACATTTCTATCCAGATGTCACCGTGTGTTTTTCAGGTGAACAGAAAGAAGTCTTGTACTCGAACACGCGCGCACCCTCAGGAGTCCATCGAACTTCGTCCTTGTCAAGACCAATAAAATTCAACTGAAGAGTCAATGGCATTTTCATGCGTAGCTGGAATTCAAAATTTATGTTCCCTAAACCTCTCACACGGCAAGATCTTGGGAGTAGACTCACAAAAGTCACAGCGACATGCATGAATTACGCCCAGAAGTTAGGTTCACGAGCACTCCGAAGAAAAGTGACAACGGTTTTTTTCAGATAAGACCAACATTTTTATTCTCTCATCCGAGTTTAATTACAATCTTTGGGTCCAAGTCAAAATTTCGTCTCGCTAATTAACAAGCTGAAAATAAAAACACGATCATCCTTCCGCTCGTCCCGCACACAAAGATCTTGGTCCTCGATAAAGTCAGAGAAATTCATTCCACTCAAATATGTTCTTCCGATAAGCATTTTGTCGTTCCAAGTGTCGCCCTTTTACCAGAGTTTGCTCGCGTAGCCACCCGGAGGCACACGACCACGGGGTCTATCAGAAGGAGTTCCAATCGACGATGTCGTGGAAGTGGAGAGCCTGTCACCGTCATTCGAAGCAGTCTCACTCCCAGAATCGCTCTGATCGATGGAGTTCTGGTGCACTGCAAAACCAAGTACAGAAGTCAAATACCCGAGAAAAAAAATTTTCGGAGCATCAGCTCAAAGAACTTCGTGCAATTGAAAAAACTATCGATTACATAACAAAACACTGGATCTACAATTACGGATTACGAGAAAAGCGCCGCAGATGAATTTTCCAATAAGCGAATCCATATCACATAAATGCAGAATTTAAATTCGCGCGGCAACAAAAGAAGCCCTTTCCACGAAAGTCCGCTGGTGGCCAACGGTTTTTTCCCCCTTTCTCGAAATTTCTAATGAAAACGGGCGACAGGAATGTGCATGTGCGAACCTGGCAAGGAAGACGGCTCATCGAAAATGCTCGACTTCATGTAGTTCTTCACACGTCTCGGGGTTCTCGAAGCCTCAATATCATCGTTGGTATCGAACAACCTCGAGTTCGGGGTCCTCAGGACAGATCTGCACAAGCAACACCGAGAGCGCATTAGCACCGTGTACGTTTTCACTTCGCCTCATCAACACCACCACATCTTTAACTCCACGAAACTCACTTCTTTTCAGCGGACATCTTGGGTTAGCACTGAAGGTTCCACAAAAAAAATGTTCACAAGTTCCACGAGTAGGACTTCGGCTAACACTGAATCGCCCTCGCACGTTCAACCAACTTGAGAGGCTCGACGTTCAACCGTGGGAAGCGTCGCGTGTACAAAACTCGCCTTCAAAGCAAGGGAATCGCTTTTATACCCGCTGGGGCGGACTGGGAAACGCTGGCTAGTCGGCACACACACTCTCTCTCGCGGCCCCTTCGCTCGCACCCAGTCTATAGGGGGGCGAACCCCGAACGACGGGTGGGTGGCTCGGTCTTTCCCGCCGGATCGGTTGGCTGACAGCCGGGTACGCACGTTTTCACTGAACGCGACCGGCTCACCGAACCTTTCCGCCTCGACCGACGCTGCTTCTACTGCATGCATGGGTGCGAGGCAAAACCCCGTGGGGATAAAATATCCCACTGCTTGAAAAATAACTGTGCCACAGCAATGCAGGTACAGTATCGTACCAGTTACGGTTGAGGTACAGTATTGAAACAATTCTGCGATGGCTTCAAATTGTTTTTTGGAAAATAAGAAAATGAAAAACTATAGTGCAAGATTTGCTGATAACTTTTCATTTTCTATGATATGATATTTCCGGTGAAGAAAAGTGCCACAGATATTCCGAAGCAGACCTTTTTCAAAATTTTAATGAAATACACATCTTTAAAATATGATTAGGAAATCTACTGGAATATCTCAAACAAAGGTCAAACTGGATCAACTTCTCAATGAGGGGCAAAGTGCATTACCATTATTTTTTTGGTGGCATAATAAATATGGGAGTACGGGTCTCACCCAAATTTTGAGTAGGCATTTTACAACAAGAAAACTTCAACATTAAAAAAATTGGAAGTTCTTCAGAGAAATTGTGCCACTTTATATTGTGCCAAATAATGCTATAAGTTGCTTAGTTTTCGATTTAACTCATTAACCAAGAAAATACTTTTTCTTTTAAGTGACGGAACAATAAGCGATTTTATTTTATTTTATGAATTGAAAATTTATGAGTAAATGTGATTAATATTTCCAGAGTGGATTTTTGAAAATTGTGGGCATAGGCTAAAAAGGTGTGGCATTGTTCAGTTTGATTTGAATGTTATAAAACTTATGACACGACCTCTCTTAGGCAGTGCATTTTGGCTTATTCAGAGGATTTCTCGTTCAACTGAGTGAATAATTTTAAAAATTTAGAAAAAGCACCTCTTCAAGTTCACCTCCTCAATACTGAATGAAGTAAAATTAAAATCTTGTAAAAGCAAGGCCATTGGGAACTTTAAAAATACTTCATTACAAAAATATCACACTGTTACTCTGTATAATAAGAATAACATAGACTGCAAGGTGCTTTTATCTTGCAAGGACCTTAAAATAATTTGTTTTCAAAAAAATTTACTTGTTGGGAGATGTTGCATGTAAAGGTTGTGACCTGCAATTTGACCCTCATCCATGTCTGGCTAAGGGTCAACTTTCAAAGCATGCAGTCAAATTGTGAGACAATGTCAAATTCAATGCTTCTTTGTCAAATTTGACCTTTTGAGTCTCTCAGCAGGTCAAATAGCAGGGTAAGATGTCTAATTGCATGTTGAAATCCCAGCAAATTTGAGTGTCAAATTGCAGGATGGTCAAATTGTGGGATGTCAAATTGTGGGATGTCAAATTGTGACATATGTACTTTTAGTATTATTTTAAATTTGGTGCAGTCAAACTCAAGGGGACCAAAGAAAAAGTGGACCTAGGTAGTTATTGAGTTTGGGTATTTAGTATTTTGGTGAAAATGGCAATCTTCTGGGTCTTCAGCTGCTGGGTGTATGAGTTGACAGAACAGTATGTTAAACTTGGTGGGAAGGTACATTTGCCCAATAAGTCACTCACTTCTTTTTTGAAAAAGAATACTTTGATTTTTTGCTCTTCTACTTGCTGGGTCCCTGGAATAATAGCCCAAACCCTAGAGATTCAAGTTTTAGAAGATTTTGTGTGGGGGTTATTTCAGTTTGAGAGGTTTATTGCCTTGCTATTAGAGGAATTCAGACATTGAGTAAACACAAATTCAAAAGGAGGTGATTTTTAGTTAATGGGGTCTAACTGTGATTCAATTATTGTAATGTTCATTTCTTGTATATTGTTCAGTTTCCTTACATCCACTACCCATACAGGTTGGACTCCTCCGAAATAAGAAGATTATATTCATCATTCTGCAAGTATTTCAATTAATTTTATGCTGCTTTTTTAATTTTTTTTTTCCTGACATCCTGGACCATTGGGACTTTCTGTCTGCTGGGCATTCACATGGAACCCTCTGTAACCTTTCGACTGATCCGTTTTTCCAGCCTCCGAGTGCGTTTGATTGCGTCCGGTTTACTCCGTGCAGAAGCGACTGTCGAGTTGCCCCACTCACGTGAGAATCAGGTGTG